TTACACACGCACTCTATCAGCTGAGCTGCACCCTGCCCAGGCCCTGCTCCTGAATTTTGAGCTTTTATGCAATGGTAGTTTACATTGGAACAAACTGGCCGGACAGAGCATTCAGGCACAGAAACTGAGGCAAAAAGTCATGGCAGGAGGTTGTCATTGATGTGGCCTTTATGTTTAATGCATGGCTATTTGGGGCGAAGCCCCCTCCCGACTTCCCATTAAAAGGCCAGCCTTGGGAGATGTTTACAAGGACATTGCTTTGGAAAAACGAACTGGCTAATATTTAATACTTGGAATCCATGTATGTTAAAAGTGGGTGCACCGGAGTCCAGACACAACCCAGACCCAGCAAAGTCCAGTTTGCTGATTACATGCATCTCCCCCCCCACCCCCCACCCCCCCACTGCAGGGGCAAGAGCTTTATTTACTACTGAGTTATGCACCAGTCTTTATCAGGTTTTTCTGTGAGCACGCCTGTGTGTGTATGGGAGGAGTTCTTGATTGTTAGTCGATGTAGGAAGACCCCGCCCATTGCGGGTGGCACCATTCCATAGGCAGCAGGTCTTGGACTGCTTAAGAGGAGAAAGCCGGCCGAGAACAGGCAAGCAAGGACTCTGTCTCTGGGGAAGTGACAGTAGAGTTTCTGCCATGACTCCCCTGCGATGACGGACTGGAACCTGGAACCCAACAAACCCTTTCTTCCCTGAGCCGATTTTTGTCGGGGTGTTTTGTCACAGCAACAGAGAAACGAGAAAATGGGTCAATTTGAAAGCATTCCAGTCTTCCTGCAAAATGAGGGGTTGGGGGCCGATGCTGCCCTCTAGTGGCGAGACAGTGATTGCGCAGTTTTGTGAGCTCTGGAAAGTAGAGATCCTAAAGGCTTCTTTATACAGCCATTTGCCACGGCCCAGAGGAGTTGTCCTCACGGCCCTGGAGGGAGGTACTGCGTAAGGGCCGGGGTGGGATGCGAGGGATGAATCAAGACAGTGTTTGCCGTGCAAGCTTGCACACCCGAGTTTGATCCCAAGAACCTGAGCTCTACCCCCAGAACACACTTAAGAAATCGGGGTTTGGTGGTGAACACCTGCAATCCCAGAGTGGAAGAAGCAGAGTCAGGCGGCTCCCTTGGCCTCATTCACGGCTGGCGACCCCAGTGAATCGGCTAGCTCCAGGTGCTGATGAAAGACCTTACTTCAAAAACAACATCCCCCGCAAAACTTGCAGTTTCTGAGGAAGAACACTCAAGATTGTCTTCTGGCCTCTATAAGCATGTGCACACATGGACATGTGTACCTGCACACAGGCACACACACACACACACACACACACATACACACACACACGCGAATACACACACACACACACACACGTGCATGCATGCATGAACCATGCATATTTCAAAAGGAAATAGTCTTCAAAAAGAAAACATAGACCATGAATATTTCAGCAGAATTATATGATCAGTTAGTTCTCTGCCTGTGCTGAAACTCTGCCAATTAGCTAGCATTGCATTAATTTTAAAAAGTGTGTGTGTGTGTGTGTGTGTGTGTGTGTGTGTGTGTGTGTGTTTTAATCTTGCTTGGTTTTGGTTTTTCCAAGACAGGGTTTTTCTGTTCAGCCTTGGCCGTCCTGGAACTCACTCTATAGATCAGGCTGGCCCTTTACTCACAGAGATCCACCAGCCTCTGCCTCCTGAGTGCTGGGGTTAAAGGCGTGCACCACCACTGCCCAGCTAAAAAGTGTGTCTGGATTAAGATAAAATCAAACTCTGAAAATCAGCGATCTACTATCATAGCTCCTTGGCAAGCCAGCCCTCCCTTATGTTTGAAAGTGTGCCTTGTCACGGTTGGCCTTTCACACCTGGTCCCCCAGCCTCTGTGATCTACAGTGCAAAGGTCCCGGGAGGCCAGCAGTTTCCCTGCTTACCTCTGAGTGGTTTCCATCTTAGAGGGGTCAGAGAAGGAGGAGAAGACCAGGGGCTGGAACCTCTTCCAGTTCATGATCCCAGGAATGATATCCTGTGACGAAAGTTGGGGCAGGGGCAGGACATGAAGAGAAAGCACTAGGTGGTTGCAAGAGTTCATGTTGACAGTGTCTAGAGCCACCTAAGGGACAAACAAACCTCTGGGACGTCTCTGAGGATTTTTAAACATTGGATTAATTGAGGTGGAAAGACCCACCCGAAATGTGGGCAGAACCATCCCACGGTCTGGCGTCCGGGACTGAACACAGAGGAGGAAGCGAGCTGAGCGCCAGCATCCATCTCTCTGCTCCTGACTGTGACAGCCACGTGACCCGCTGCCCCACGCTCCTGCACCGTGCCTCCCTTCCTTAAGTTGTGTTTGCCACATGTTTTGTCAGAGGACCAAGAAGAGTAACTAACGCAGTGGGCAAATGTCTCAGAGGACCTTCGCTTCATTCAGCCGGCTGTCCTACAGTCACAATGGGTTAGATCTAAACTTCATTCAGCTTGACTGACTTCCGCTAACGCACAGACAGTTGCTCCAGTACAGGGTATGTGGTGGAGACCGAGGGCAGATGTAGTCTCCCAGCCTGTCTGGACGGCTGTGGAAGTGACGTTGATGCAATATCCAAAGAGGATGGACAGCACTCAGGCAGGGAGGCCGGGCAGCGGGATGCGCTGGCAGAATTAGGAGGTCACCAGCAGTTCAGCTAAGAGCAGGGAAGACGATAGGGATGGTGCCTGTGGCTGGAGGGGCGGCAGGTCACCAAGGGACTTGAGGGCCAGGCCGGTGGAGCTGCTCTGTGGGCAATGGATACATCCTGAGGATGTGTGTGTGTGTGTGTGTGTGTGTGTGTGTGTGAGAGAGAGAGAGAGAGAGAGAGAGAGAGAGAGAGATGGCAGAGGCCAGTGTCTCTGTCTTCCTCAATTAAGAGATAGCATCTCTTGGGGAACCTGGAGGTTGCAGTTTCTGCTAGACTGGCTAGTCAATAACCTCCAGGGATCCATCTGTTTCCATATCCCCGGTGTTGGGATTACATGTCTATGCCACCATGCTTGGATTTATGTGGGCACTGGAGATCTGAACTCCGCTCCTCACGCTTGTGGGGTTTAGCCATTCCCACAGTCCCCTCACCCACTGAGGTGTTTCCAGATGATCAGAAACTTCCTGTGGCAGCCTGGAGGTTGTGGTAGTGGTGAATCACCATGGAGATGAGAGGGGATCCTCAGTCATGTAAGAGTTAGGCTGGTGTGGGACATGGGAATGTTCCAGAGCTGGTAGGTCAAGGATGGTGTGAGTTCTGTACCTCGGAACACAGGGGCAAGTGGTTGATGTCTGTATACCTAGAGGGTCCAAAGTTAAGAGGAGGCCAGAGCCCAGAGTCATGGTACCACATGATTGTTTTCATGTGGTTGAAAAAGTAATAAGTAAATCATTTCTCCCTTGCGGTCAAAAGGAGTGTTGGGAAAGGGGGAGCAGACGGCAGAAGGTGGGTAGAGGCGGACAGTGGTCGTGCTGAGAATGATCCTGTGTCCTTCACAGCTGGCAGTGTGAGGACTGTGCTCACCATTCTTGGTCCACGGCTAAGGCTACGGGCCCTCTTTTTGTTGTTGTTTAAATGGCATCTATTTACTTTTAAACATGCATGTACACGTGTGTATGTGTGTGCATATCTGCATGTGTGCACGTGCATGTGCATGAGTGTGTGAATGTGTGTGCATGCTTGTGCTTGTGTGTGTTGTGTGCCTGTGTGTGTTTGTATGTGTGTGCACAAGCTACCAGAGGCGACACGCACAAGTCAGTGCTCTCCTGGATCTCCTTCCGTCATGTGGGTCCCAGGGATTGAACTCAGACCGTCTGACTTGGTGGCAACACCTTTACTCACTGAACCACCTTGCCAGCCCGGTCTTCTTGTTCTCGGTCCCCGTTGGTGCCCTCTCTCCCTGTCCCTTGCCCCTCCCCACAGCCCAAGGCCATCTCTGCCAAGGGAGCCTGGTGCTGACGTTACCGTATGATGGAGAAACTGCTTTTGGGTGAGAGGAATGCTGGACCCGATGTGGGTCTCATGGGTGAACTTGTACTTGGGGTGAGAGCACAGATGGTAATCTATCAGAGTTTCTGCGTAGGTCAGAGGGTGCTTCACGGAGAACAGTCCTGGGCTGGGATTCTGTGGGCGAGAGGGAGACCAGATTGATGGTGTTTACCTGTCTCCGTACCAGGCCCGGGACAGGCGTCAGCGAGCTCTCTGTGGCTCCCACTAGCACTAACAATGGGGATGCATGTCAGCTCTTCTAGCAAACTGGGCACAGGAGCAGAGCCTCAAGTTGGCCTGTCTTTCCAGCATCACCATCTTCATGTGAGCATTTGCTGGCTTAAGGCCTTCCTTAGATGCTGTTTAGATTTGCTGACCTCACGAGGAAAAAAAAATGTCACTGGAATTACAGTTTGAAACTGCTTCTAGTCATGATCAATGAGGGGGTTTTTAAATAAGCCAACTGGATTTAAGAGCAAATCCATTTCTGGGTCTGCCGTGGTTCCTTTTCCTGTTGTGATAAAATACTCCAACAAAAGCAGCTTATTGAGAAAGGATTCGTTTTGGCTCCCAGTCCAGCATGGTGGGGAAGTTGGGGCGGTGGGAGCTGAAGCCGTTTGCCATATCGTATCATCCAGAATCAGAAGGCAGAGGGTGATGAGTGCTCGGCTGGCTTGAAGTGCAAAGAGAAAACATTCCAGGGCTGGGGATGTAGCTGTTAGCAGAGCACTTGCCTAGCACACATCAAACCCCCATTCAATCCCCAGCACCACATAAAGATGGATGTGGTGCTGCATACCAGTAACCCTAGTACTTGGGAGGCAGACGCAGGAGGGTTATAAGTTCGAGGTCATTCTTGGCTCCACAGTGAGTGTGAGGCCATCCTAGGCTATGGGACACTGTTTAAAAAAGATGGGTCTGGAATAAGGCTTAGGGGCTAAGAGTGCTTCTTGCTTTATCATGAAGACTGGAGTTCAAACCCCAGTGTCCATATTGGATGGCTCACAAATACTGTAACTCCACCTCCAAGGGGTCTGATACCCTTTCTGGTCCCCACCCCCTGGCATACATACAAATAAATAACAAAAGTAAACACAGATATTTAGTAAAGAAAGATTTAATTAAAAAACTAAAAAGAGAAAACTTATTTCTAACACATACTTCCATTTTCATGCAGGATAATTGCTGAAATAAAGGGACACAGAACACAGGCATCTGCCGACTGGTACTTACGAAAATATACAGCGGCTCATATTCCACAGACATGGCTAAGCCCTCTGGTGCCTTCATACTCAAGATGGAGGGCTTGGCTGAGAGCTGTGTGGTGTCCTGCTCGGGTAGAGTTATGATGGTGGTGACCTCATCCTGTGTAAAGACCAAAAATGACTTGTTAGTTATTATTAGTCGTATTTTCTTCTTAAAGAGTTATTTATTTTACTTTACATGCATGAATGTTTGCTTGCCTGCATGTGCGCCGTGTGCATGCCTGTTGGATCCCATGAAGCTGAGATTATAGATGGCTGCAAGCCATCACATGGATGGTGGGAATTGAACCTGGGTTCTCTTTAAGAGCAACAAATGCTTTTAATTGCTTATCCATCCCTTCAGCTCAATGAGCTGTCATTCTTAGTGGAGGAACATGAGTAGTAAGAGCAGTTCTTGAAGTTGCAGATGCATTACCTCAGCACCTTGTTTCAGGGGTCGAGCAAGCTTCTGAAGTCTATAATTTGTTGAGGACTTGTTGACAGAAAATGGTTGATATCCCTTGATTTTGTATAACTGAGGAACCTGAAATTGAAAGAAGACAGCAGATTGGCAACACTTAAGAGCCTGCTTTGTGCAGCTACTTCCTTCAAATGGAAACATTCCTTCTTGGAGGAAAGCCCCACTGAGGCTCAGGTAGTGAATGAAACTCACAAGTCTCAAGTAGTCCCTGAAATTTACAAGATTCACAAAAACCTCTTTGTCCAAGGTTAACAATTTCTGGGGAGAGGAGCCTCTCTGATTAGCTGAGCTGCCTGAAAATTGTCCATGGTGCTTCAGAGATGCAGCTTTAGTGAATCCTCACCCATGACAATGTGGGGATTCAGTGATGTAGCTGCCTTTGAGTCATCCATGCTCCTATACGAATCCCCTCACCCATGCACCTGTAAGCAATCCCAATAAACATTCTGGATCATTAAACTAGACTGGGGAAAATAATTTCTTTGGTCTGATATCAGTGCTTTATCTAGGGTGAATAGATATTTGTAGTTCCTTTAAAAAAAAAGGCTCACAAGAACCCATTACTGTTTGGTAGGATTAATGTCTCAACAAAGGCTGCCTAACAGGGCCAGTCCTGAGCCTCATTCTGAGTCTGGGCACATGTCAGTATTCAAATTATTTTCTCATGCCAGATAGCTTCACTGGAGACATACATAAATGTATTTTTACTTTCAAAAGCACAAGTGGTCCCACACTTCAAGAACTAGTCAGGATGCCTTTAATCCCAGCTCTTGGGAGGCAGAGGCAAGTGGATCTCAGAGTTCAAGGCCAGCCTGGTCTACCAAGTGAGTTACAAGACAGTCAGGACCACACAGACAAACCCTGTTTCAAAAACCAAAAGAGAAAGAAAGAAAAAAGAAAAGAAAGGCTGACTAACTTGTGTCCTGAGTAGAGCCGCAGTTTCCTATATGTGTAATATATACTGTACCCACAGGAAAAATCAGTTTCCATATTTATGTTAGAAAGAACCTGAGGAGTGCTCAGCACACCATCAAATGATAGAGAAAACTACAGTGTGCCATTCTATATCAGCTAGAATTGAGTGATACCAACGAAATAATGCAATTCAAATTCAAGCATATTTTGCTCACTTGGTAAGGAACCTGAGGGCCAGTGAGATGGCGCAGTGTGTTAAGGTCCTTGTCATCAGGACTGATGGTCAGAGTTCAACTCTAGGATTCTCACTGCAGAAGGAGAGAACCAACCCCCAAAAGTTGTTCTCTGACTTTCACACAGGCACTGTGGCACGTGTGCCTCCTCAGTAATAGACAGATGATAGACGGACAGGAAGACAGATGACAGACAGACAGATGACAGCTATAAGCAACCAGGATAACTTATGTTCTACGCAGGTCTCACCTTCAAAGTGAAGTAGGGATAACTGTGCTTGACTTGAACATCGGAAGGCTTGATGGGGACCAGTCCAAGGCCATCGAGAGCCTACATGGGGAAATGAAAAGAAAGCTATAAAAGGACAGATGACATCTCTGTGGGTTTTCATTATGTTTTCAAACATTGCCTGAAGAGTTCTATGCTCAAAACAGCTCTTCCTGTGACCACAGTTGCTACCTTAGCTGTGGGCACAAAGGCGGCCCTCCCCAAAGCTCTTTGTGTCTGAATCTTATGGACTGTCATGGAGACTGCAACATGTCCTTCTGTGATGGTTAATCCTGGTTGTCAACTTGACTGGACCTTGGAATCAACTAAGAGATAAGCTGCTGGGCACATCTGTGACGGGGTTTCTTGATCAGGTTATTTGAAGTTGGAAGTCGTGCCCTGAGTGTGGGTGGCTCCACCCAGTGTCAGCCAGACAGAAGGTCTGAGGGGAAGCTTTGATGTTTTGCCTCATTGCCTGGGTGTCTCCCCAGGAAGCTCATCTCCTCTGTTTCTGCCACTGCTGTTACATTCCTGTGCTGAGATCAGAACTCAGCTTCTCTGGGTTTCCACTGTGGATTGAGGACCAGTGGCTCTCCAGGAATCCTCTAGGTCTTCAGTGGCAGGCTGGGACTGCTGATGCATGCAGCCTGTGGATCAAGTAGCTACCAGGTCCTCAGCCCCTCCAGTATAAGATAGCCACTGTTAGACTACCCCGGTCATATGGTGTAGACAAATCGAATAATCTTCTCTCAGTATATATATACATTCTATCAGCTCCTCAGACTTGACAGACTTAGCTCATGAACCCTTGGAAGTCAGCAACTGGTGAGGTCAGCCCTCCTCAGGAGTCCCCTTGTCTGAGGGAGCGCCTCACAACCTTCTGGTCTACCTCCTAGGACAGTTTGAAGTCAAAGTTCAAAGGTTAGCTCCTCTCAACCTGTGGGAGCTTCAGAGCTCCTCATGGGCTCAGCTGAGTGCTTTGCCAAGGAGCATCATGGTCCCACCTCTCTAGTGAGGCCCTGCCTCTGTGCTGGCCTTCCGTAGGTGCTGGTCCCCAGAGAGCTTCCTGCATAGCCCATCTGTCTCAGACACCCAGGGATCCTGGGGCAGGGCCTGGTACACTCCAGTACCCAACAAATGTCAGACCAGGGTGTGCTGGGCCGCTAATGCGCCATCATTTGAAAGAGATGTCTCAATTCCAAATTTGCTGCATGTTTTTTTTAAAAATGTGCGTCTTAGACTTGATGAAGTCTGGTACCCAAAGCCCTTAAGATGTGACTTGTGGGAAGTGCCATGTAAGGGTTAATTAACTATGATCATTATTACTATGGCATATTATTACTATGTGTGTGCTGATATGTGTGCAGCTCATGTATGTGCAGGTAGGTGTATGTGTATACACATGTATGTGGAGGACAGAGAACAGTTTGGCTGTGTTGTGACAGTTTATTTTTAACGTTACTGTGTGTGCCTGTGGGAGTGTGTGACATGTATGTGTGGGTGCTGTCTGAGTCCCCAGGAGGACACTGGATTCCCCATAACTGGAGTTATCGACGGTCGTGAGCTACCGTGCATGGGTGCTGGGAACCAAACTTGGATCCTCTGGAAGAGCAGCCAGGGCGGAGCCATCTTTCCTGCCCTCTGCTCTGTTTTGTGACACAAGATCTTTCCTTTCCTCTGGAACTCACCGTTCAGCTACACTGGCTGACCGGTGAGCCCCAAGGACCGACCTGTCTATGCCTCCCCAGCACTGAGGTTACACATGCTACCACGCTGGTTTTTTTTCTTTTTTTTAACCTGGGTTCTGGAGATCAATGTCAGGTTTTTGTGTTTAACTGACGTATATTCCCTGACCAATTAACTATTATTCTTTATAATGAAGCACCATGCTCATAAGGGAAGAGGAGATGGGGGTGGCAATGTGGGATTTCCCAGGCTGATGGGTTGGCTTGCCTGATTCTGGGCCACATGCCCTCCTTAGCAGACTGGGCCCTGACCGAAGCGGCCATTATCTCGGCCTTCCATTTGCCAGGCTGGGAGGCTCATGTGTGCACTGAGCTTCTCTCAGTTCCCACTCCTCTCCGCCCAGTGCCCATGCCAGGCTTCAGACTGGGAATCAGCTCAAGTCAGCAGGAAGCTCCTCCAGGTACCCATGGATACAGAAGGCAGGGCAGATAGGGCAGTGGATGCTCCCTGTTTCCTACTGCTCGTAATTCCCGAAGCACGAGTCTCCTTCAGAGCCTCTCAGAGGAGGTGGACGGACTGAGAGCTGGCTTGTCTGGCAATCCGCCCGTACCCATGTGATCCCATCTGCTGCCCTTACAGAGGAGACACCCACCAGCTCGTTGTAGCTCTGGGAGTCGGATGGGAAGGCGAAGGGCAGCACTTCCTCAGGCTGCAGCGAGAACGGACAGGGGCACTCCTCCTGACTCAGGTGGGCCCATGGGTATCTGTAGGGAGTCTCAGCTAGGGGAAGACAAACATTTCTGTGTGAAACCAGCATCTTTGGCTGTCTACTTACCAAATACCATTTGCAACAGAGCATTCGTGTTTACATTCTTCAGTGGTGTGGTGACTGATATGCCACGATCCCACAAACAGCCCTAGTTAAATGTATTGGGTCACCAAACACACACCCACACCCACACACCCCCACACACCCCTCATAACATATGCAACACACACAAGATATGCAACATACACACACAACAAGATATGCAATACATACAACACATGCCAAACACACACACATAACATATATACACACACATATACACACAACATACCACACACACACATACATATACATACAATATCCCTACAGTGTTACATGCACACACATAAAACATACCACACACAACACACAGCATATAACACATAACATACACACACAGCACACACCTCTCTCACACACATAGGACACACCACTATTGCACACACAGCACACCCACACAGAAAGACAGACAGACAGACAGACACACACACACACACACACACACACACACACACACACACACACGAAGGCAGAGGAGCGATCTACAGAAGTAGGGGAGAAAGGAGAAAACGATGGCTATGGGGTGAATACGAATGATTAAAAGACATATACATGGATGAAAATGTCATTCTGAAAATCATTACTATGATAATATATGCTTATGTAGACTTTAGAGAGAATATTCAAATTTATGCATGCTCAAGCATGTTTGCATACATATACATGCATGGCATATACATCTATTGTCAGTTTACTTGCATTTGTTCCCTTTTTCCCTCTCTCTCATTTTGCGACAGGGTCTCATATGGCCCAGCCTGGCCTCGAATTCACTGTAGCTGAGGATGACCTTGAACTTCTGGCCCTCCTGCATCCATCTCCCAAATGCTGGGATCACAGGTATGTGTTGTCAAGCTACATTTATGGGATGCTAGGAATGAAACCCAGGGCCTCGAGAATGTTAGGCAAATACTCTGCTAACTGAGCAACATTCTCAGTCTTTTTTCCCTTTATATTTATTTATTTGTGATTTTCTTTTTCGAGACAGGGTTTCTCTGTGTAGCCCTGGCTGTCCTGGATCTCATTCTGTAGACCAGGCTGGCTTCAAACTCAGGCATTCGCATGTCTCTGCCTGCAGAGTGCTGGGATTAAAGGTGTGTGCCACCACTGTTAGTTTTAAATTTTTTATTTCATTTTTGTTTATTAAGTTACAGTTCTCTTAAAATTTAATTTTATTTTTAAAAGATTTTATTGTTATTTTTAATTATGGGTTTGTGTAGATGAGTGCAGTCCCCAGAGACGCCAGAAGAGGGCGTTAGAATCCCTGGAGTTAGAGTTACAGGTGATTGTGAGCACTGGGGACCACACTCTGGTCCTCTGAGAGAGCAGCAAACTGAGCCACCTCTCCAGTCCCAGAGACCAAATTCCTTCTTTAACAAAGAAAAAGTTGAATTCTAGAGAGCTTTTGTAGATAACTGAAGAGGCCTAACTTAACATCAGCTATGACAGGCTGCAGACTAACAATACTGGGACTTGGCTTCACCATTGCAATAACCAGGAAAAGCCACAAACTTTACCCTGTGGGAGACCAATCAGAATTGAGACAAACAAGTACTAGATGCTCCAGAACGTTAAGGACAGCTTACATCATCTGTATATAGGTTGCCAATTTCCTTGGATCAACGCCAGTACCAATCTCTGTTTGACAAGACTTCTGTTACCTCACTCCTGCCCAATCAGGAGTCCAAACCCCATCTGAATCTGGAATTCCCCTACATCCCCATCCTTTACTCCTTAAAATCCCTGCCTCAGCTGAGCTCAACACTTTCCCTGATCCAACAGCTGTGTCAGAAGGGACGGGAAGCCCAAGCTTGAGCTTGTGATGAAGGCTCTTTGTGTTTGCGTATGAATTTGGACTCCTGGTGGTCTCTGGGGGACTCTTGACCCGGGTGTAACAATAACCATGTGTGATTTTCATGTGAAGTTTACTGTTTCGTTGGTAAAACACTTCCCTTGTTAGGAACGTCAATATTAGAAATAAATACTACAGGAGGAATAAAAGTAATCAAAATGCTGCAAAGCATTGTGGGAGAGAAGCAAGGTAGTCTTGGTGGGGGGGTGCCTTATTGCTTGGGGAGGTGGGGGAGTGATAGAGGCGGGCCTGGAGGAATGTGGGCTGGCACAGCTGCCTGTGTTCCTTCGTGTGAACTCAGGCTGGGAGAAAACTATGACACGACTTTTGGGTTCTTGGAAGCAGCTTGTGGATCAGAGGGTCAGAATGAATCGATCTCTTTCTCTCTCCTTTAACTTCCTTCCTTCTCGATTGAGATGTGCATGTCTATGTTCAAATGCTGCACACGTATGTGCAAGTATGTAGCATGTGGGTGTCTGCATGTGGAGGCCATAGGAGAACCTTTACTCTTGTTCCTTGGATGCAGTCCACTTTACTTTTTAAGACAGCCTACAACTTGCAAGGTAGACTAGGCTGGCCAGCCAGCCAGCTGCAGGGCTCCTGTCTCTACCTTCTCCGTGCTGGGATTACAAGCATGTGCCACCATGGCTGGCTTTTTCTGTGTGGGTTCTGGGGATCAAATCCAGGTCCTCACACTCACATGCCAAGACCTTTAGTGACTGAACTGTGTCTCCAGCCCTGATAACTCAGAATTTCCTGAAACAATAGACAGTATGTGGCTTAAAGCTTAGTGTGTAAATGCTAGGTTGAGTATACACGAGATTCAGTCATTTAGTAACTATAAATTGCTGGGGGATGTCTTTCTGTACACTGTGAATGTATGTTGTTTCCATTGGTTAATAAACAGGCTGCTTTGGCCTATGGTAGGGCAGCATAGAGGCATGCAGGAAATCCAAGGAGAGAGACAGGAAAGAGAAAGGCGGAATGGAGAAGATACCAGACTGCCATCCTAGGAACAACATGGAATGGGATGCAGGTAAAGCCACGGGACACGTGGTGATACATAGATTAATAGTTATGGGTTGAGTTAAACTATAAGAGCTAGATATCAAGAAGCTTGCTATTGGCCATACAATTTGTAAATAATATTAAGCCTCTGAATGATTATTTTATAAGTGGACTGTGGGGCGGGGCAGGACCGGAGAAACCTTCTGGCTACAATAAATGACAAGTATTCTCCTGTCTCTGCTGATGAGAGGCAGCAATGGGCAACAAGAGGTCAAGCTGAGGCCAGACTGCACAGGTGATACCACTCCGTCTAGGGTGGGCAGACCTTTGTGACTAACGGGGCAGGCGCTTGAGCCAAAGCTGTCATGGAGATCTGAGGTAGGTGTGGAAATAACTCCAGAGATATCCGTATCCCCACCCTCAAGGATGAGCAACCACACATGGTAATTCACACGTGGTGAGCTAGAAGATCTAAGTAAATTAGGGCTCCCGAAGTGGAGAGATGACTCTGTTTTTCCAGGCAGGCCTGATGACATCGCAGGGTCATCAGGTATAAAAGGTGAGAGGTAACAGTGACATGCGGGAGAGCCAGGAGCCAAGGGAAGCAGGCAGTTTTCAACAAGAGCCGCCAAGATGAAGAACTGCCATGCTGACACCTTGGTTTTTGACTCCAGATCTCCAGAAGCCGTGACATGTTTGTTCGTGTGCACACACATGTATGTTTGTGCAGATCACGTGGAGGTTGGAAGACCACCTTGGCTGTCAGTCCTCAGGCGCTTTCTACCTTTTGTTTGTGATAGGGTCTCCCACAGACCTGGAACTTCACCAAAGGCTGGGCTAGGTGGCCAGGGAGCTTCTGGGGACCTTGTCGACTCTGCCTCCCAACTCATCATCACTGGGACGACCATACCGCCTCTTCTGTGGTTTCCAGGGGCTGAACCTCAGGTCCCTACATTTCCCAAAGCAAGTGCTTTGCTTTCTGAACCATCATCCCATCCCTGACTTTGCGTCACTTGAAGCTGTGAAGTCAGTATTGGTTACTTTAATGGCAACAGGAAACTGATGTATAGAATTTGTGATGAGATTTGACTTCGCCAGAGCTGAGCTCATCGAGGAGAGACCTCTACGAGGCCATGGTCATCAGCATCACTCAGCTCTCCTTACCTTGTATTAGTGATTGCTTGGCTTTGTCGAGCCTTCTCTTTATGTCTTCTTTGTCCATGTCACGGATAGCCTCCAGCACAATGAGCATCCTTCGTTCAATCATGATCTGGAATTGGAAAGAACAGCTTCGGGTTAGGAGTTGATACCCGCTTCTCTTGGCTGTCCCAAGGTGAGCAGCTTCACGCCAGCAGACACTACCCACTGTGAGGCTCTCCTGCCACGGGCTCCAGTGTGATGGAGGGAGACCTGCGGAACTGAGCCAACACTTGCCTTCCCTTGGTCTACGGCGATTACTTCAGGGATTTTGTCACGGCAGCAGAAAGTTGAATAACACACCATGTCTTAGTCATTGCTCTCCCTTGCTTGAGGATGGCTTTGTCCCCTCGGGAAGCCACACTCAAGAGGAAGAGAGGTCTGCAGGTGGTATAAGATGCCGGAGGGGCTCAGCACACCCTTTGCGTCAAAGAACAGAAGGATTGCTCTTTTGAGGAGAGGTAGACCAGTTGTTCCAAAGCACAGGGGTGAGCCCTAAGGGGGCAGGGAAGTGTTCTGGTCAGTGAGGAGGAATGGGAATCCAGGTCCACAGCAGGGGATGATGTTCGTGGAAGAGGATGGGGACAGTGTAAAGGACAGAGGTGTGGCTGACTTTTACACAGGGCTAAGGATCCGGACCCCAGTCCTCATTCTTATGTGGTAAGTACTTTACTGCCTGAACCATCTGCCCAGCCCCATCAGACGCTCATTCACCCTGACAGTAGGAAGTCCCTGGAGGCTGTGGCTGTGCTTGATGGAGGACAGGTATGAAGGGGAGCCGCGGTTAGGAGGGGGACTCTGAGAGGAAAGCAGTGAGCCCAATGTCACCCCAGAAATCTCCCATTCTCCACTGAAACAATGCCATTGCTTTCGAGCCATTGTATGACCCCAGCAGCGCCTCTCCTGTGTGCACACCTTGGAGAGTGAAAAACCACGTTGAGTCTGACTTGGGTGTGAATGTTCATGGCAGCATTGCTCAGAATAGCCAAGTGGTTATATAATGAGAATTGCTGGGATACCCATCAGTGCGTGAACAAATAAAGAAAACCTGGTCTACCCCAACAGTGGAATATTACACAGTGATAAAAAAGGGTGACACGCCCGTTATGACACCACTGAACTTGAAGATGCAAGTGCAAGGAGCCAGTTACAAAAAGCCACATACTGTATGATTCCATTCACATGAAATGTCTGGAAAAGCCAAATCCATAGGGTTAGGATGCAGATTTAGTGGCTGCTTGGGGAAGAAGGGAGGGGGTAGGGACTGCTCCTTTCTGGGTAATAAAAATGTTCCGAAGTTAGCTAGCAGGCAAGGGTGTGGCTCAGTCTGAGGGGGCTTGCCTGGATTTCACAAAGCCCTGGCTTCTGTCCATAGCGTAAATCTGGTATGGTGGTGCACACCTGTAATCCCTACAATCAGGAAGTGGAGGCAGGAGGATCAGGAGTTCCTTGGCTACACGTGAGTTCAAGGTTCCCCTGGTTATAGACCCTGACCAAATACATAAAGAGGTAAATGTCACACACCAATGGTGACTGTCTAAATGTGACTACACTAAAACCTCACTGTCCCAGTTAGCTTTAACTCCATCCTAGCTGAGAAGGGAGTCTGATCTGGATTTCCCAGATCAGACCGTCTGTGGAATATTGTCTCGATTGTTAACTGATGTATGAAGACCCAGCCCACAGCTAAGTGCGAGCCTGAGCAAGCCAGCAAGCAGCGTTTCTCCACCGTTTCTGCTTCAGTTCCTGCCCCGATTCCCTTCACGATGGACTGTGACCTGGAAGTGTACACCTCTTCCAGGTTGCTTTTGGTCAGAATGCATTATCACCACAACAGAAAGGAAACTGGGATGCTTGCTCCATGGGACACTTTGCAGAGGCGATTTGATTCCCCCCCTGCTGACAACTAGACAATCAGAAGCTAAAGAAGGCAGTCTAGAGCCGAGAGTTACCCTGCGCGATGCCTGCTGGAACCGTCTTTGTGCCCGGAATCTGCTGAGCCACATGTTGTTAATAAGAGGATCAAAGTTAGGATGGAATTCCTGGACTTTCTGTGAATATAAAAACACAGGCACAGCTTACATTCAATGACAGACTCTTCGGCATGAGCATTTTATAAATGTGTTAGAGTTTGATCTCTGGCTGGGTGTGGTAATACATGAGTCTGTAATGCCAGCATTCAGGAGGCTGAGGCAGGAGCATCGTGAATTTGAGCTGAGACTATCAAAACAAGCAGAAACAGAGGGCAGCAAGGTCGCTTGGAGAGGAAAAGTGCTTGCCACCAAGCCGGATGACCTGAGCTCAGTCTCCGGAACTGCCATGTTGGTGCTGGAAATCCAACCTTGGTCTTCTGGGAGAAGAACAGACAGTGCTCTCACCACTGAGCCACCTCTTCAGCCCCCTGTAGCTAGAGTTTTCCTGCCTTGCCCACAGTCAGGACAAATCTTTGTCACCCGCCAGTCCCTCAGCCGCTCAGACCCAACCAAGTAAACACAGAGACTTATATTGCTTACAAACTGTATGGCCGTGGCAGGCTTCTTGCTAACTGTTCTTATAGCTTAAATT